ATATATATATAATTTATGTATATACATACACACACACATATACATATGCATTTATACATTATATATATATACACATAAACACTCACACGCACACACGCACACGCACACGCACACACACACACATATATATATATTATCAAGAATAGGACTGCGCATACAAGCACTTGTTTTTGCTTCCGTGCATCAATTTATATTGGGGGCATGAGATGCATCCATGAATATGTCTCTATCTGTTCAGCTATATATCACGTCGTGTAAAGAACCGAAGTTGTAGATAGGAAGTCTTAGCCCTTGATGTTGGCCCGAAGACGCTCTTCGGTTGTAAAGATACTGGAGATGTCGCCGAGATTGTGAAGATCGAATTAGTTGACCAGTATTCTCAATATCAGACAATTCCGTGTCGATTCACCACTGACATAGGAGTTAAAGCTGCTTACTGCTGTGGTTGGGGTGTCTCACATGCTTGTATTCTCTCTCTCTATACTGTACTCTGATGAAGCAATGGATCATGAAAATCGACAAAGATGAAGAGAAGCGCTCGTTCGTGTGCCATATTGAAAGGTGAGTGTTTTCTTCCTATCGCTTATTCAAGAACTATTTTGTAGGTATTATTTACGTAGTGCCATAGTCTTGTGTATAGTGATATCGGAACACATGTGTGTGCAAGGTCTATGGGCAAGCTATGATCGTACATTTCTCCCGTTCGTACCTACGGATGTTACATATCACTTTCAAAAGATACGTTGACCATTTGTACGTCTGATTCAGCGATTGGTTTATCTATTCTGTCCGTTGAATTGGTCATGTTATGGTTGGTCAGTGTTATATCAATACTTGATACCGCACTTTGCAGAGTTCTAGGGTTAATAGTTAGTGCGCTATACCTTTTTGACACTGTTGATTCAACCGTCGGTGTTCCTATTGTAATGTATAAGCACTTACGGGTCTAAATTCTTCCATGACCTTCAACCTAATCCAAACTGATTTATGTCGCGCAACCGTTCATACCTATTCTCCCGACCATCACAGACCAGATAAGGCGACATACCTCTACTTTATGAAATGGACCGCCACCATGAGTCACCTGGGATCCGTGGAAGTCCAAGTATGGAATACACACGCACAAACACACACACACACACACAGAAACACACACACACATATATATGTATACACACACACACACACACACACACACACACAC